TACGGAATTAAAATATTGAATACAATGAAGTTATATTATCGTAAAAAGCACTTGTTCATAAATCTCTTTAGAAAAATTTTTTATTTCTATGCTATCTTTAAGAGTATATCGGTCATAATCTACAGGATCATATTTCTATTCCCATATATATCTTAATATTCCTCTGACATCGTATCTCACAAAAGTTTTAAAGACCATTTACATCTGACTTTCGCGGCATCGCATCTATCTGGTTATGTCTTGATTTTGTGAAATAATGAATTCCAGTGAGATAGAAAAATAATATATTCTATTCAGAGATGTTGAACATTGCAGAATCGGCTCTGGCTTTGTGATTATTCGTGGAACAGAATGACAGTTTGTCGAATCGAACTTTATGAAGAAGAAAAATTCGATGATTAACGCTTTCACGTCCTTTTACATTCTTCCAACTGTATTTCGTCATTTTATCCTATGGCACTTTAAAATTTTGTTATTTTTATTTTTAATGCATTCTGTCGACGAAAACTCTTTGTTAGTTTTGATTTTGTACGAAGAAGATTCTATTTATTTTTTTCCAACCCTATTAAAATGCATTAAAAAAAGGAAGTTATTTTTCCAAGAATTTATTTAATGATGGATTGTCAATAGTTACATGACTTCTCAATCACTATCTAAACAAAACTCGACGAGAGTATAAAAGTGTACTATTTTCAGTAGTTAGACATGTATAATATTTCACAGCTTCGAATACAAATCATGGCATCAAACTGTACAACTAGCATTACACAAATAATGTTTATTCTATTCAGTAAGTTCTGTTATATTACTATTCTATGAATATTAGAAATATATATATATCCATTTTGTTCTTGCAGATTTTATCTTATTGATTTCAATTAATACAGTTGATAATTTTACTGTATTAGACTTGTCGACGGATAGGAATGATTTAATGGAAAGTTCAACAGATTCTCCATCAATAAATGAGCAGACGGATGCTTATACATTCTCTCAGAACGATTCGATAACTATACAAAATACTAGTGATGAAACAGTTTTCGAAACGACAACAACAACCAGTAAGAGTGAAGTTTCTAGAGGTATACCTAGAGCACAACAAGTCAAAGCAGTGACTACTTCTTATGGATCAGATTCAAGTTCAAGTTCAGGACCGTCAGGTGGAACTATTGCTGGAATAGTTATTGGTATCATAGTTCTTCTTTGTTGTTGCGGTATATGCTGTGGATGTTACAAGAAGAAGACTGGTCATCTGGAAACTCGTCAGGTTCAGGTTTGGGTAGAACACTAAATTTTTCATTGTATTTATTCCAGATTTTATACCACATGGTATTTGAAAAGAAACATTTTATTTTAAACATTTTATTCCTGAAAATATATAAAAAATATCATTCTACTTTTCTGTTTTTATTGTCACGTGTGTTTTTATATATCTTAATTCTGAATAAACTAACATAACTTCATGTTTGCTTATTTTGTATGATAATCGTGAGTTAAAGGTAAAAAAGGTTATTTGATCATGAAATCATACGAAAAGAAAAAAAATATACAGATGTAACTATACACATATGTTTAGATATGTATCTATCGACAATATTTATCTCGTACACATGTCATATCTGACAAAATACAATCAAGAACATTATGATGAGTAAATAATCATGGTATGATAGAAATATTATTGTAATAATCATGCCAAAACAGTTTGTACAGTCAATAGAAAAGATATCTTATGACCATTTTAACCAAAATAGAACTAGATAAAACATTAGTAATCGTTACTACAATGATGATTGATTGAAGATGTATCTACGATGGTGTGAATGCAAGTATATTGTGTTATTTGTTTTCTCTCACAGACATCTTCATCCATTCTTAATCTCATATTACATTCTCTTGTGAAATTTTTAACATGAATTTCTGTTCTAATCTTTCTTTTATAAATATTAATATGATGTGTTATAGTAGAAGCAACAGACACGACTTCTTGTTAGTTTTTTCTTATCCTTACACATCAATCTTAATTTTATTTGTATGTCTGAATAAAAACTTATAAATATGAAATAATTATATCACGAGAAGGAAGTTTACTAATAAAAAATTAATTTGATAAATGTACTCTCATTCTTACTGCCATTGTGATTATGATATCATAAATATTTCTCTCATATTATTAACTTTGCGAAACATTGAATAAATTAATTCCACTTTCGTAGACATAAAACAATAAAATGCAAATCAGAGTTAAGATAAACGAACTAATCAATCTTTTGCAACTACATTCCAACTCTATTATACATCGTCATTTTTAAAATGCTGTACTGAATGACTTCTTATATTTGAAAATAGTGTCCTGCAAACCGGACGGGTACCCGACACCCGGCCTGACCCGGATTCGAACTGATAACTAGTGACATCACCAAATTTCTAACATTTTATTCTGATATTATTACTAATATGAAAAAAGAAGTCACAATAAATCTAATAATGATTAAACGACCCATTACTCATCATAATATTTCATAAAGAAAAGTTGAGTTTCTTTAAATAGGTTTTTTTATGTTTCGGATAACAAGCTTTCCTTGTTTTGTTAATTAACATCTTACAATACGAAGGGTAGATGTGAGATAAGAGCAAGATCCACATCTTCAGCTAAGCCCTGATTTACTTGATTCACTTGTTTTTTTAAGTAATTTTACACAATATATATTTTTCTTTGTTAATTATGAACGAAACTAAACGTATTATATTTATTGAATGAAATAAAAGTTTAGAAATTTGATCATATTGTGAAAAATAATTGAGTAGACCGGTTCGGATCCGGGCGTAAAAAAATTACCGGTTCGGTTTCGGGTACAAAAAAGTGCACCCGTGCATGACTCTGTTTGAAAAGTATTCATATTTATGCAGATTGCATGCAGTAGTATTCATTATCCTTTACAATTCAATTCTAATGGTTGGAAGCAAAAATAGATTCCTTTCTATTTACTTATTCTTAATGATTCTTCTACGGAATTAATTTTTGATGTATTTTATTCTCGTCATTATAATGAACCGCTTGTTAATGAATTTGACAGAGTTTTTAAATAACACAATTAACAATTAGTAGATATGCTGAACGCTAATGATGCCGGATGTGTAAAATATTAATGAAGGAAAAAAAACAGGAAATAGAGAACTAAGAAATGAGTTCCATTAGTAATCTATTATTGCTTGTCCATTTCAACATTACATTCTTGTTTAGTACGTCGTATTTATTATCAAAGAAATCTATTTGAAATCTCATTCTAAAATGTCAAACAATAATGAAACAATGGCGTATATTGCTAAACTTCAGTCTATATCTGGACAAATTACTTTCTCCATGTCACTCATTATTCTTCTTTCTGGTATTATTGGAAATCTACTCAATTGTTTAGTATTTGCTCGACGATCTCTTCGAACTAAACCATGTGTTGTGTATTTTTTTGTGGCTAGTATTTTAAATTTAATTGCTATTTTTTCTGGAGTTACACCACGTGCATTTCAAAGTTTCTTTTCAATATCAGATCAAACACTAACAGTCTCTGTTTTGTGTAAACTTCAGTTATTTGTTGTTTTCTCTGCACGTACAATATCATCATGGCTTATCGTTCTTGCTTCTATTGACCGATATTTGATTTCTAGTCCTGATGTCGTTTTACGTCGTATGAGTAATTTGAAAAATACTTATCTTTCGACTTTAATTGTTAGTATTATTTCCTTTTTATTTTGGGCAGAAGTTGGCTACTGTTTTGATGCTAATCTAATAGGAACACCACAAAAATGTTATGCAAAATCAGATGCATGTCGTATTTTCAATGATCTTGCTCAATCTTTTATTACAACAATTATTCCGTCGACAATCATGTTCATAGTTGGTTTATTTACGATACGTAATGTTCGAAAATCTCAACAAATAGGTGTTTTACCGATTACTATCGTTAATCAGAATACTAGAATAATTAGAAGAAACGAGCAAAGTCTAACTATTATGTTAATTGCACAAGTTATTCTTTTAACTATATTTACTCTTCCTCAAGCTGGACAAAAATTTTACTTAACATATTCATTTTATCAAACAAAAACAAGCAGTCAACGAGCCTTGGAAGGCCTTCTGTTTAATTTTGTTCTTCTTTTTGGCTTTATTTCAAGTTGTATGCCATTCTATATATATACTATTACTGGTACTTTATTCCGCA